GGACGCACAAGGGTCAAAACACAAGTGCCTGTTTCCGAACGGGAATTAATAAGTAATTGCATTATGTAGTTCATGTGAGTCCTCAAATTTAAAAAATATATATGAAGTTTTAACTTAATCTCCCAGAGAATATCAGCAATACTGCTCTAAAACTGCAACAAAATGGCAACCAGTCTGTCAATCTAACAAACAAAGTAACATGCATTAAGGTCCTATAAAGTTTAATATACATATGATTTTGATGAAAATTCACATTTAAAACAACCGCAATTCGGCCATCTTAAATGGATAACCAAATGAATAAATATGCAATAATGTGTTTATAAAATTTGAACATGATCGGTCTAGACAAGTTGAAAATATAGCTTCAGAAATGTGTTCACAAAAACATAATGGCAACCAGTCAGCCATTTTGAATCTGAACTGAAAAGGGTCCCATAGTATCCAAAGTTTGTATTCAAAGAATTTTCAACATTGAAATGACTGCCATTCAGCCATCTTGAATTTAATTGTCAAATGAATGCATGTGCATATATATGACATGATGTATAACTAAAGTTAGAAAATGTTTGGTCAGGGAATGTCTGAGATGCTGCCCTGAAACAAGTCGACTGTTTTGAATCCAGTCTGAAAAATAAAAGGTTGTATTATGTTCAATGTATGTAACAATTTTGAACAAAGTCTGTCTATACACGACCAAGATTGAGTTTCGGAATGACAATATGATACATTAGTTTTTAAGAAAGATGTCGGATCATGTTGGACCCCCCCCCCCCCAAATTTATTTATAAATAACCGAACAGGACAAAAATATATTTTATCAGTTTATACTAAATATAACTAGACCCAACATGTTCACAGAATACACATTTAATTGTCTGGCTGGCTGGATGGATATTGATTTAACCAGTGGGTATGTTAAGATTATACATGCACCGGTATGTGCTTTCCTCTGAAACTGAAAGCAACTTAATTTTACTCGTACACATGTCAATTTCAACTACAAATTTCTGATAATGATCTACTAACCTTAAACTTGCTGATAATTTGGTTAATTAGCGGAATAAATTCTTGAATATCTTTTGCAGTGCAGGAACTTTTAAGTAAATTTTCCACTGCAATTGGGATATAAGGTAGCACATCCCCTTCAAGACAGACTATCATGCGATGTAAATACTGTCGTACTGCAGAATGTACTATCTGCCTCTGATAAGGAGTGTTCATTGCAAGCAGAAATACTTGTAAGGCTTCTATATAACATACATCACATCCACATTGTGTCATAGTCTGCTGGCTATGAAATGCTTTACTTGTACGACTGAAATCACAAATTAAATAGATAGATTTTGTGAAACTTAAAACAGTTTAAATAAATACGTAGATACATTTTTGAAACATTTGGTTTTATTGCCTCAATATCAATTATCATAGTCATAAATTCGAATAGGAAATACATGTACATGTATGACTGCAGTTCCATGGACCTTTAATAGTTAAATGGGAAATTATTGATGTACAGGCTGAGCACCGTCAGCCAATGAGATGTGGTCATATACTCTATATTAAAACTAATTAATAATAAGGTAACAAATTTAATGTTTCATAGATTATTAAATGTGTTAAATGTTAGTAAGACATTTTATAACAAGTACTCATTCACAAAACTTCGGAATCCTTGCACAATGATGGAAAGTATTTTGACATTTTATTTTGTAAATTGAGACAAAAGTTGATTCTATTAGCATTTTATTATTGCTATTACATGGTACAGGCTTGCTTCCATAGTTATTATTAAGGTATAGATGCAGGTTCGTGGGCACTTGAGAGGTAAATTGCTTTTTTTTTGCTTTTTATTATCTAAACAGTCTTGGCAAAAGACTGTTAAAATTTTGCGGTTATTGTAATCATAGTTATTGTAATCACATGGTTGATGTGACATCAAGCCCTTAGAATGCCAATATATTCACAGTAACAGTTGGTTTGCACCATAGAATAATTTTATTTCAAATTTCATTTCATAAATTTCCGATGACTCAATCCTGAATGGAACCTATACGACTCAATCCTGTATGAAACATGTACAACTCAATCCTGTATGAAACATGTACGACTCAATCTGTATGAAACATGTACGACTCAATCTGTATGAAACATGTACGACTCAATCTGTATGAAACATGTACGACTCAATCCTGAATGGAACCCATACGACTCAATCCTAAATGGAACTTATACGACTCAATCCTAAATGAATCCTATCTGACTCAATCCTAAATGAAACCTATACGACTCAATCCTAAATGAAACCTATACGACTCAATCCTAAATGAAACCTATACGACTCAATCCTAAATGAAACCTATACGACTCAATCCTAAATGAAACCTATACGACTCAATCCTAAATGAAACCTATACGACTCAATCCTGAATGGAACCTATACGACTCAATCCTGAATGGAACCTATACGACTCAATCCTGAATGGAACCTATACGACTCAATCCTGAATGGAACCTATACGACTCAATCCTGAATGGAACCTATACGACTCAATCCTGAATGGAACCTATACGACTCAATCCTGAATGGAACCTATACGACTCAATCCTGAATGGAACCCATACGACTCAATCCTGAATGGAACCCATACGACTCAATCCTGAATGGAACCCATACGACTCAATCCTAAATGGAACCCATACGACTCAATCCTGAATGGAACCTATACGACTCGATCCTAAATGAGTCCTATACGACTCGATCCTAAATGAGTCTTATAGGACTCGATCCTAAATGAGTCCTACACGACTCGATCCTAAATGAGTCCTACACGACTCGATCCTAAATGAGTCCTACACGACTCGATCCTAAATGAATCCTACACGACTCGATCCTAAATGAATCCTACACGACTCGATCCTAAATGAATCCTACACGACTCGATCCTAAATGAATCCTACACGACTCGATCCTAAATGAATCCTACACGACTCGATCCTAAATGAATCCTACACGACTCGATCCTAAATGAATCCTACACGACTCGATCCTAAATGAATCCTACACGACTCGATCCTAAATGAATCCTACACGACTCGATCCTAAATGAATCCTACACGACTCGATCCTAAATGAATCCTACACGACTCGATCCTAAATGAATCCTACACGACTCGATCCTAAATGAATCCTACACGACTCGATCCTAAATGAATCCTACACGACTCGATCGAATTCATTCATGCATGCATTTAAAGAGGGGCACCCCTTCCAGTTAAGATTAATTTCACAACAAATTTACTTTCTGGATGAAAATAACAATGGATAACAAAAGATAGATTAACATTGTAAACAACATAAACAATAGTGTCCCTTTGGTGCAATCCATGGGATTGAGCGGTTCTCCTTTAAGAGGTACAGCTGGAATCTGAAGTCACTGCTTCAGAATAAGTTTACAAGGACTCAAAAGTGACATACCTGGCAAATGATATACACTGACTCACAATCTCAGCATACACCAGTTGCTGTGCCTCGTCACACTCTGCACAAAGTTTCGTTAACATTGTGTTGAATTTTTGAATCAATGGAGAAAGCAGTGTCTTCATCTGTAGCTGTTTTTTCTGTTGATAATCAGAAATTACATGAAATTGCTGAAATCATAACACTCTCAGATGATAGTAAATGTATTGCAAACTGAATCAGCATAATTAAAGGTCACTAATGAGATCTCTGCTATATACTTACCTCAGGTGGGAACTGACTAGCCACAATGAGCACACCAGCTGACTCATAAATAAACAATTTGTCATCATTGGATAGCAACATAGAATGACCATTATCCTGCAAGAAGAAGTTTCAGAAATTTAGCGCAATGCCTTCAGAGCTGACAAATAAATGAACAAATGTGTTCCAGAACTTGTGTCATATTCACAAAATTTATAAATAAATTATGTTCTCTGTGTTTGGTGATAGTGGCCGACTTCATCAGTGTATGAATAACAAGCCATGCATGACACAGTCCCCGGTGGTTATCAAATTTTGGATATATAGTTTTGTTTATAGTAAGGCGAGACTTTTTTTTATTCCTTGTTTTGGGAGTTTTTATAAGGAAATTTTTTTGAGGAGGGAGGATAAAAAATAAAATTAATTCTTTTTTTCCATTAAATTTGTGTGATTCTCAAAGAATTGTAAGGGAGATCATTGATCAGAGAGAAGAAATGAAATAAAATTTTATTCCATGTATAACCTTGTTTCTCATCTGCGCGAGACTTCGGTATTTTGATCATGATACTCCCACGAAAATGCAATTTGGATTTGTTATGCGTCGGGCGGTAAATAAATTGAAGATAAAAAATTTTCTAGCATTTTTTTGCGCTTACAAGTCAACGGGCGCGAGAAATTACGCTGAAATAAAATTATATTTTTATTTCATTTTTGGCTCATGTTCATTCGGTGGGTTCACAAAACAAGGGATAATAAAAGTCTGGCCTAATATAGCTGAAATATATACATGTCAGGAATATGATTATGATGATTGATATATGAACATTTAAATGACTGACATTTGTATCTGATCGTCAAACGAGTATTGAGAGATATTGCTCTGGAAAAGCATTAATTAAAACAAAATCAGCCATTTTGAATACATGTATAATGAATATATAAAATTTGAACATAGTCAGTCAAAACATGTCGGAGATACAGCTCCAGAAGCCCATTCATTGAAACAAAATGGCCACTAGTCAGCCATTCTGAATCTGATCTGAAAAAAATAAAATAACGTGGCATCAGGAACCTGTAATGTCTAATGTTTGAACAAAATCCATCCATAAATGCCAGCAATGCTTGATTTTTTAGCACAAAAATGGCCACCATTCGGCCATATTTAATAGGATTGTCAAACCAATATATCTGTATATCTATGACATGATGTATAATGAATATTTAAAATTTGAACATAATCAGTCACAGCAAGTCAGAGAACCTTATTCATTAAAACAAAATGACTGCCAGTTAGCCATTTTAAATCTTATCTGAAAAACAAAATGATGTGCATCAAGGTCTCATAATGTCAAATGTATATACCAAGTTTGAACAAAATCCATCTGTAAACAGATGAGAAATGCTTGATTTTGATGATTTTTAGAACAAAAATGGCCACCATTCAGCCATCTTGAAACAAATTGATGTGCATATGTATAATATCATGTATGATATGTGTGAAGTTTAATTGTGATTGGTCCAGGCATTTCTAAGATACAAGCCATGCATGGCACAGTTCCTGCTAGTTATCAAATTTTAGATATATAGTTTTGTTTATAGTAATATACAATGTAGTTGGAACATAAACATGTCAGATTTGGATCCAGAAGCTGATGCTTATGAGTTTTTAACGTTAAAATTTTGACATTCAGTCATCTTATACCTGATTATCAAACGAGTACTTATTGAGAGATATTGCTCTGGACTAGCATTAAATAAAACCAAATAGCCATTGTCGGCCATTTTGAATCGGATAGTCAAACCAATACACCTGTATATCTATGACATGGTGTATAATGAATATTTAAAATTTGAACATAATCAGTCACAGCAAGTCAGAGCACCTTATTCATTAAAACAAAATGGCCACCAGTTAGCCATTTTGACTTCGATCTGAAATACGAAATGAAGTTTGAACAAATTCAGTCATAAAAGACCAAGATCTGATGATTTTTTTCAGCACAAAAATGGCCACCATTCGGCCATTTTGAATCAGAACATCAAACCAATATATCTGTATATCTATGACATGATGTATAATAAATGTACAAAATTTGAACATAATTTCAAAGCATGTCAGTGATAAGGCACTAAAACCACATTCATTAAAACAAAATGGCTACCGGTTGGCCATTTTGAATCCGATCTGAAAAACAAAATGATGTGCATCAAGGTCTTATAATGTCAAATGTATGTACCATGTTTGAAGAAAATCTATCTTTAAACAGCCAAGATCCTGTTTCAGAATGCCAGAAATGCTGGATTTTGATGATTTTTCAGCACAAAAATGGGCGTCATTTGACCATCCTGAATCAGATTGTTTAACAAATTGTGTGCATATGTATAATATTAAATATGATGTATGTGTGAAGTTTGAATGTAATCAGTCCAGGCATGTCTACGACACAGATGCATGCATGGATTCACGCACAATGGATGCACGAACAAAGAATGCACAGCCACAGCCACAGCAATGGACATTAAATTGAAAATATCACGAAATGAACGATCTGATAGAGGTCTGCCCTAGGTTTGTATCAAAGCAAATCAGACTTAGTTTTTAAGAAGAGTTTACGGACAATCACTCGTATGATAAGCTATGATAGCGGAGCTAAAAAGCTGCTTGCCTAGGTGATTTGTGATCAAGTCGACATCAAAATATACCCAATCTCACATTACACCACCACAACCCTATAATGAGATGATGTAATTTTAACAAACTAAATTTGATGGTAAATTGCATAAAGATTAAGGTAACAAGTTGTTTGGTCACAAACAGAAGTCCAGCTAAACGAAAAAAAAAATCCACTGAAGGCAGTTTGCAATCAAATTGCTTTTTTCATTAAAATAATGGCTGTAATATCTATGAAGTCAGAGCCAAGTAGCACTGGTATCAATACATACCCACATATCCTATTTTTACATTGTAAATTATGATGATCTGTAAATAATATTGTTACTAAAATGTATTTTCCTGGGCACTAAGCCAGACAAGTCATGTAGTATTTTTGAATATTGCACTAGATGATGTGTGGTTTGCTATAACATTTGCTATAATATATACAACTTACTGGTGGAGCTGCAACCATAAATGTGGCTAAGGTCTTTAAAATCTCATCCGTGTATGGGTGCAAATGTTGGCGTGTAGATTTCACAAATCTTGAAAAAAGATATGATGTCCTACTGCGAAGCATTGCATTGGGGTTTCGCATACCCCTCTCATCCAGGAATGCTGCAATCACTTCTGGGATATGTTGTGGTGTCAAGTTAAAGAATTTGTCATACCGAGCAAATGTTTCAAAAACCTACAAAGTATAGGAAATATTTGAAGTTAATTAACAATCAAAGAAAGCTTAAAAAGAACTCTCGTGTGCTTCAAAATTGCTTGTACTTGATATGTTGATGGAAAAGCTGAAAACTAATAATGCAAATCAGAAAATTAAAATGAACAAATTTGAGTATAAAATTAACAAGTGATGAATGGCACAGTCCCTGTTAGTTATCGAATTTATGATATATAGTTTTGTTTATAGTAATATAGCTGGAAAATAACCATGTCAGGAATAGGATTATGATGATTTTTTAACATTAAAATGATTCAACATTTGTATCTGATCGTCAAACAAGTACTTGTCCATATTGAGAATTATTGCTCTGGAACAGCATTCAAAATCAGCCATTTTGAATACATGTATTCATAACATGATGTATAACAAATATATAAAATTTAAATATAATCAGTCAAAGCATTTAAGAGATATGGCCTTAGAAGCCCAATCATTAAAACAAAATGGCCGCCAGTCAGCCATTTTGAATCCAATCTAAAAAATAAAATGACGCGCATCAGGAACCTGTAATGTCTAATGTATGTTATAAGTTTGAACAAAATTCATCCATAAATGCAAGAAATGCTTGATATTTGAGGATTTTTTTAGCACAAAAATGGCTACCAGTCGGCCATCTTGAATCAGATCGTGGCAATAGAACCACATTCATTAAAACAAAATGACCGCCAGTTTGCCATTTTAAATCTTATCTGAAAAACAAAATGATGTGCATCAAGGTCTCATAATGTCTAATGTATATACCAAGTTTGAACAAAATCCATCTGTAAACAGCCGAGAAATGCTTGATTTTGATGATTTTTAGCACAAAAATGGCCGCCATTCGACCATCTTGAATCAGATCGTGAAACAAATTGACGTGCATATGTATGATATCATGTATGATGTACGTGTAAAGTTTGATTGTGATTGGTCCAGGAATTTGAGATACACGGACGGACGCACGGACGGACGGACACGCACGCACGCACGCACGCACGCACGCACGCACGCACGCACGCACGGACACATGGAGGTAAAAACATATCAAGTCCCCGTTTTCAGACTGATCATATTTGTATATTGTCCTTGAGCATCTATGTACAAAGTTTCATTGAAATGTGATTAGTACTTGAAATATTAGTGTGAAAATTGATTAATTATGCAAATTAGGAGATTAATATGCATAAATATATACCAACAACTAATTTTGGCTCTCTGCATAGATTAGTGTGGGGGGTATACAAACGTCAGACGTAGACTAAGTTCAATAAAATAAACTAACTACAGTTTATTTAACATCGAACACCGGAACACACTATCAGGATACAAACTGAAGAAATACATGACTTTAAGCAAGAATACTCTTCTTATATGTCTTAAAATCGAACATGAAAGAAGACACACAACGTCTAAAAAGCGCGGGAACTTCATATTATAAGTATATCTGAAGACCAAGTTACTATACAATGATTGGTTAATTCTGAAACAATACGTCATTGTGAATGGCTCTATAAATGCCATGATAACATATATAGGTTGTTTAATCTGCTGATAGTGGCAGAGAATCCGTCTGCGAGTATAAAAAGGAAGGTTGACTACAAGTTTACATTATAGTGACAATCACCATGTGGTACGAACGTGTGCTTAGTCATATGGAATTTCAGTGAAATAAGAACGATAATATTCTCCGACAATTAGATTCATTTAAAGGTGATAAAGATAAAGATATCAGTGAAAAAGCTGAAAATTAAATAATTATGCAAATTAGGTAATTAATATGCACAATTTTTACCCAAAAACTAACCAGGTCTCTGCATAGTCCTAGAGGACATGTATACAAATTTCAATGAAATGTGATGATTAGTACTTGACATATATGTGAAAATCCGAAAATTATCTAATTATGCAAATTAGGTAATTTACATGTACTGATATTACCCTAAAAACTACCAGTTCTGAGCAGTGTCCCATGACATCTAGGTACCAAGTTTCATTGAAATGTTTTGATTAGTAGTTGAGATATCAGTGGAAAAGCCGAAAATTTACTAATCAATATGCAGATTTTCACCCAAAATTAATCAAAACCTGGCATTAGTTCAGAGCATCTATGAACCAAGTTTCATCACAATCCAATGAGTGGTTCTTTAGATATCAGTGGAACAGTTAAGGAAAAGCTAAAAATTAGCTAATCATGCAAATTAGGTAATTAATATGCACAGATTTTTACTAAAACTAATCAATCTGCGCATAAGTTCAGAGCATCTATGTACCTTGTTTCATCAAAATTCAATGAGTGGTTTTTTAGATATCAGGGAACAGCTAAAAATTAGCTAATTATCTTGCAAATTAGGTAATTAATATGCATAGATTTTTACAAAAACCTAATCAAATCTGCGCATTGGCTCAGAGTATCATGTACCAAGTTTCGTCGAAATTTGATTAGTGGTTCTTGAAATAACGGTGGAACAAAAAAGTGACATACATACATTTCTGTTTTTTATTACTCTAGTTAAAATAGATACATATTTACAAAGGCTAAAAAACTCGCTATGCGAGGTGAACGGAAAGTAAAAATATATCGAGAAAAAAACGATTAACAGTTGAAGTCAGAATCGATTGAAATTAGTAAACGAATTAACAATAAAGTGTTTTCACATTTTATTGTTAATTCGTTTTACTGATTTTCACACTTTATTGTTTTTTCGTTTACTGATTTATTTCACATTTTATTGTTATTTCGTTTACTGATTTTCACATTTTATTGTTAATTCGCTTACTGATCTTCACATTTTATTGTTAATTCGTTTACTGATCTTCTCACTTTTATTGTTAATTCGTTTTACTGATATTTACACTTTATTTTTTATTTCGTTTACCGATTTATTTAACACATACATACATACATACACATACATACATGTACATGCATGCATACAGACAGGGTAGCTACGCACACTGGAGTCAAAAAATATTACACAATTACATGACAAATAAAACACAATATACTGTTTCATTCGTAATATCCTGAAATCATGAACATTTTCCTTGCAAAGAAAAATTAAATGAGTCACAGTACTGAATCAAAGAAAGCTTAGAAAGAACTCCTGTGTGCTGAAGGAATAGGGATCATGATGTAATATTCAGGAATACATGTATTTGAAAATGATAAACAAATTATGAATAACCTATTAAATAAGGAGCCACCAGTAGTCATCTACGCACATATACATCATATACCTACAATAAGCCTACTTAAAAATATGCATAAAAAGTCTACACAAAATTGAAACATTAAAAAAAAAACTGAAATAATTCATAAAACATTGGGGGGAAAATGAAATGCAACGAAAATAGTGAACAAAATAAACTGATAGGGCATTTAAAAATATTTTAGAAATTTAGTTAACACGGAAAACGTAAAGTAGCAAGAACAACTATGTAAATTTCTGACAAACAATCACAATCTAAATATCTAAAATTCAAACCACTATCTTAACATCAATATGTGTGTCAATAAATATTATATTCATTTATTTTCAGTTACGTAAATTAATAAGGAAGGCATCGCATTACTGCGTACAAATTGACACTATCTGGGGCACGTCGCACGCGATGAGTACCAACCAAAAATATACACAGGACATTTAAAGTGGCTCGAAACAAAACCTATTCGCTAATTTTCATTTTGAAAACATCTATGATGGCTTAAAACCCTGTACCCCGTCTCGCATGTTTTGTTTTTTTACCAGGCAGGAGACGCCAGTCAGCTAGGCGTTGCCCCAGTGGTTTCCACTGTGCATCCAGTAGTTAATGCCGACATCACGGTCTATACATTCCACATGAAGCATGGTATTCAGCTTAACCATATTTTCTTTTTTGCTCCATGGCTTAACTTAATAGGAACAGTAACTCGAGCAATAAATGTGCCTTCCGATTTGAGGGATATAGTGCCGTGTAATATTCAATGAAAAAAATAGTGAAACACGAGGCCCAAGCTGGGGGCCCACATAAGGTGTTGCAATAGTGTAAATATAACAAAGCCAGACACCGATTGTTTCCTTTGCTCGGTAAAATCAATGTACAGAATACTCGGATGAAACAACTAAAGTAAACTAGGATATATTAGAGCCAATGAATTTGTAATTTTCGACGAAAAGGGCCGGGAAAAATACCCCTCATAACAAATCACCGTCGATCGTAACAAATCACCGTGTTGAGGGGGGCGGTGAACAAATGAGACACCGTCAAATTGTTTTGGTAATCATCGCATGTCGATTCATTTCATTTGTACAGGGTACTCTGACACAAAAATAAGGTAAACCAGCCTACTTAGTGCTAATGATTTTGTGATTTCCCATACGAAGAACGTTCTCAGAAATAATCCGACATGCTGATCAGCACACCAACAATCGACACCAAAATTGATCACAGCTGTCACGGTAAATTCAGTATGTTTTACGAGTTTTTTTCTCTCCAAATCCCAACATATATTTACACATGCAGGCGAATTTTGTCAGCTCTGTGTAAATAGATATTTTTACTGGGAATGTGCCCCATTTTACGTACGAGAAGCCCTTACACAACGCAGTAGTCATCGACACACATTAACATCCCATACCTACTAATCGACTTGATAGCTTCGTAATTTGGGGAGGGTGGGGG